AAAAGCTATTGAAAATGGCCATTGATTTCGTGAGTTTTCCCATTAATAGCATGGTGATTTTCCATAGTTATGTAAACGTTTACCAGGCCGGGTATCTGTGTCAATCAACAATGAGATCACCTGATCACCAGGCTATCACTAGCAATGATGGAAAGAACAAAATGGCCCTTGGGAATAGAAGGCGATTGAGACCGTGGGAAGCATTGCAAATGGGGGGTAGAAAAAATGAGAAAACGAAGACAAGCACAGCAATCATATAATATAATATGAACTAACATGATATAATATATAATATATCACATGATAAATGATACAATACATATACATATATATATATATATATACATACATACATAATATAATATGACATGATATAATATAATGAATATCCTAGATATCCTGGGTGTTTATGAAAACTGCGGCGCCGCGTTTCTTCCCGTGAGTTTGAGATGAAGGTACCCAGCATGTCACATCAGGACCCAGCGTCGGCCCAGATTACGATCTCAGTTTTACTCAACACATGGGGATGGATCGAAACCTACAGGATGGGGCCCCCAGTGATGTGAATGTTGGTTTATAAACCATGAAATAATCCCCAGTAACTAGTTCGTTATATCTACCATAAACCAGTGAATTCAGCCACTTATAAATCAACGGTTCACGCTATCGACTGGGGCCCCTTCTCGAAACCTAGTATGGTTTTCGGATTTCAGGGGACGAACACCAAATAGCTACCATATATATATATATATATATATAGGGTTAGTGGTACCGGTCCAGCCCGGATGTCCAGGTGCGATTTTCAAACTCTGCTGGAGGAGAAGTCATGACGACTTGACACTGACCCCTGTTTGCTCCTTTTGGAACCCGGATGTTTGGAGCCGGAACTCGCGTCATGGCAATATAACCGAACATTGACAGATATTGGTCAAGCTCTCAGACCCGCAGATTCAGTGATCCTTTTTTGGTACCCAGTTTCAACCTATGTGGTCATGAGTCATGAGTCATTTTTTCATGAAAGCACCTTCGCGACCTGACGACTGCATGTCCACAGTGAAACATATGCGTGGCAGCTGTTTTTGCTTAGACCTCCTGCCTCATCTGTCATGTCGTTTCGTGAGCACTTGGAAAGGAACGTTGCGGATGCCCAGCAAACGCACGAGGCTCACACGCAGCGGGTCATGAATGCTTGGTTGACCAAGATCAAGGAACAACTCATGAGGCATTGTGAAGCTGTCTCCCGTCGTCGGAGGACGTCCTTCAAAATGGGGGTGCCTCGTCCCCTGCACCTCTCGCGTTTGGGGGTTGGCGAAGATGTCTTGCGGCAGCAGCTGCGGGAAATGCTGAACGAGCTGGGCTTTCATGATGGAAGTGTCAGTGCTTTTGACAGGATTTACTGGAAATCGCGAGGCGACCTTTGGCGAGATATTCAATGTGCACAGGTGGGATTGGCTCAAGATGTATGAGCAAATGTGTTGAAATATATCAATATATATATCATTTTTATATATGCCGTATATGTACATATCCTCCAAAATGGTCGGTTAAAGAATCGTTTTGATTCACTTCAAGTGGGTTGCTTGACCCTGAATGCCTGAACTCTAGCCAGGTCATGGCAATATGGTCTGGCGATGATGCCCCCATGGCCTTTGGTCAGCAGTTGGCCAGAAACGTGAATGACTACGGAGCTGAAACACAAAGGATGATCTTATCAGAAGTTTCATTCATCAAAGAAGAATTTATGGAACTCTGTAAGCTTCGGTCCATGCATGGGCTGTCGGCTTGTATTCACCGTTTTGCGGTTTCTCAGTCTCTTGCACGTAGGAGTGACTTCAACCATGACATGATGAAGGATAAACTCGAAGAACACCTGGCAGACCTGGGTTTCAGCAGCTTGGAAGTCAGCCTCTTCATTGACCAATCCTTTTCAGGAACAACTCAACACTTTTTGGGATTGTCGGCCAGATGAGATGCAAATGCGCTGACTGACGACCCACCGCAAGTCACCGGTGGCACTTGCGCCTCATGTCCCATCTGCTACCAGCACCGTCCAGCCGTGGCCTTGGTTCCCTGCGGCCACGTGGTGTGCCGCGACTGCCATCGTAGTGAGCGGCTGCGCCAGTGTCCCATGTGTCGGGAAGTGACCCTTTCGGCCACGCGAGGCCTTTTCATTGACCAGTGATATGATAAGCATTGATAAGCAAGATCTATTCGAAGCTCCCAGTTTGCACAACTATCGTCACTGCAAAACTATCAAAGACTCCATTACCTTGCGTGAAGTTGATTTCAACGGCTGGTTGTGGGGGAGGACATTTTTGTCCGATGATGCAAGTATGCTACAAAGAGCCTTCACTTAGCTTACCCTCTGGTTATGTCAAAATAGCTATTGAAAATGGCCATAGAAATAGTGGATTTACCCATGAAACATGGTGATTTTCCATTGTTTTTTGTATGTTTACCAGGCCGGGTACTGGAGCATATCACCTACCAAGCTTCCGATCAGAGCCCAGGAGCGCCTACAAGGCGCCTTTGGTTGGTGACAAAAGATGGTTCACACTGTTCACACTTAAAAATTCCTGGCTGTATGGCTATGATTAAGCACAATTAAGCACATAATAACTGGTTGGTGGTTTCAAAATGTTTCAAACATGGCTTTTATGACTTCCATGTCACATATGGAATGTCATCCCAACCCCATTGACGAACTCCATCATTTTTCAAGCTGGTTATTGCACCACCAAGCAGATAAGTTGTATGAGTCATATGTATAACTCTGTATAACCTACCCTCTGGTAAAACTAACAGTTTGCTATTGAAAATCACCATGCTATCAATGGGTAAATCCACTATTTCTATGGTCCATTTTCCATAGCTTTTTGTAACAGTCATTACCAGAGGGTATAAAGGTTTCCCTGCAAAAATGATGATCCCGATGGGATCCAATGGGTTTTCATATCAGCCCCAGGTTGAGTCTCCCGGCATTCCGCTCGTCGTTGTCCAAACGTGGCGGATGGTCCCCCCAATAAAAATCAATTTCTGGCCAGTGAAATCAATCTAGTACAACCATGTACAACCGATAACCGTACACATTGGAGTGAGTGTTAGATGTGTTACTTCAATTTACTTCAGGCACCCATTAGTGGCATATTTATTGCATAACCAGAACTTGAACTTCAATGGATTCATCCAAAAAATGAGGGATGCCCCAACATGTACCCTCTGGTTATGTCAAAATAGCTATTGAAAATGGCCATTTATACTGGATTTACCCATTAAAAATGGTGATTTTCCATAGTTTTTTGTAAGTTTACCAGAGGGTAGTGCGGACAAAAAAACACATATGTTCTAAGTCACTGAATCCTGAGAAAAACCCGATTTTCAGAGAGATCTAAAGATGGCTTCAGCCCAAATGATAGTGAATATGTTGGAAGCCTAGAAAAAGATCTATCAAGCATGCCCTTAATGTTTAGGATTTGCGCGTTTAGGAGACGTTGACCCATTTTCTTGGCTATATGTGAAGAATTTCAAGACCTTGGGATCCCTTCAGACTTGGCATTGTTTGCGATAAGCCACCCCATGTTCCGGGACCCAGATTTGGCAACAGAACCATAAATTTGATGGGGATCTGGCCCGAGCACGATGGGTATTTCACCGGTACTGATTGGGTACACTGACGTTTTGAATCTGGGTCGAGTTTTGTTTGGCCCAGGATATTAAAATCTTGACCCATACACATGTGTTTCACATAAGCTCTGTACCGATTTGGCTGCATTTAGATCGCAGGTTGGGAACGGTTGTATCATACATGATTATCAGCAGATTCTTCATGATTTCATGGTGCTTCCTTCATTGCATGATGCCTGGTGGCTCCCTGCAGTTGTTTTTGGGTGGCTCTGCGATCCGCAAACTCTCGCCGACTTCCCTGTTTCATCTGTCATGTCGTTCCGTGAGCGACTGGCAAGGAATTTTGCCAATGCCCAGCAAGCGGACGATGCGCAGAGACAACAGGTCGTGAACGCTTGGGTGACCAAGATCAACAAACATTTCATGAAGCATTGCGAGGCCGCCTCCCGTCGTCAGCGGCCATCCTTCAAAATGGATGTGCCGCGACCTGTCCACCTCACCCAGCTTGGTGTTACTGAAGACACCTTGCTACAGAAGCTGCAAGATATGCTTCAGGAGCAGGGCTTCTGCCATGGAACCGACGGATTCGTCACTCCTTTTCAGAAAGTCTGGAAACGGCAGGGCAACAGCTGGGTAGATGTTCATTCAGCAGAGGTGCAATCGGCTCAAAATGATTTGTCCCCCAAATGGATGCGTTGATTCCAAAACGGATGACTTGCACAAAATGGTACCAAAACATTACCATTTTGATAGGTGGTATGGTTACCATTCCCAGTCATGGGTGATTTATGACATTGTTTTACCCGCAGCTGGGGATTTTCTCAAAAAACATCGTCGCCTAATTTGAGGGCCCTTTTGCAACTCAAAGTCGCTAGGTGACCGCGAGATGGACGGATGATGCAACCATTGCCCAGCAGCTGGCTAGGAACATCACCGACTACAGTGCCAAGACGCAAAAGATGATGCTGCTAAAGGTTGCAGCAATAAAGAACGAATTCTTAAGGAGGTGTGAAACTGCTTCGAAAGATGGGGCACTCTGCTGCAACTTCCGGATTGCTGTTGGTCAATCCCTTGCCTCCAGAAGAGGCTTTACCTGCGAGATCATGAAAGAGAAACTCCATGAACACCTTGCAGACCTTGGCTCAGCCTTGTGTATCAGTCACTCCCTCCAGCCTCAGGGGCATGTGGTGTTTTTCTTGTCGGCCAGTTGGGATCCAGATGCGCTGACTGACGACGCACCGCAAGTCACCGGTGGCACTTGTGCCTCATGTCCCATCTGCTACCAGCACCGCCCAGCTGTGGCCTTGGTTCCCTGCGGCCACGTGGTGTGCCGGGACTGCCATCGGAGTAACCGGCACAGGCTGCAACAGTGCCCGATGTGCCGTGGAGTGACGACTGCGGTCACGCGAGGTCTCTACATGGACCAGTGATTGCTGCCTTGCTCGATGGTTTCCCGGAGCAGGAGAAGGAGGAAGACGTGAGGCAAGTACAGTGTTTGATCAAAATTGCATGTGCGTCCTCTCCTGCACGATTTGATTTGTCGGACATCATTTGAACCTCACAGTTTGCAGAATTATCTCAAGAAGTGTCAAAGAGAATTCATGCTTATCCTTGAATGCTTGCAAATGATTTGACTGTGGGAGAGGGCATACTGGAGTGCATCAGACCTTGCAAGTTGCAAGTACAACTTCCGTTTGAGACAGGGGCTAGATGCCAGAGTTGTAGCTTCCCCAAGCTTTCCAATCAAAACCCAGAAGTGGCTTGACTCATTGTGCGAATGGAGACAGAGTTCAATTGAGGAGAAACTTATTCCCCAGGTGGGTTTGGAAGTTTGGCTGAAAATAGGGTAATTACATGTAATTACCCCTATAGCCAATGGTCACTCATCACCATCCTTTTCAAAATGGCCCAGGTTTACCCTCTGGTAATTTAACGTAGCTATGGAAAATGACCATTTATAGTTGATTTTCCCATTAAAAATGGTGATTTTCCATAGTTTTTTGTAAGTTTACCAGAGGGTACCCCATTTTTAGACAGATATTGATCCCCTCGTCAGTTCCTTCGGCCTTCGGCTCGCCAGGACCGGACGCAGGGCTGCGAATCGGACGTCAGGGTGTTGCGAGGCGAAGAACGCGCACACGTTGTGAAAGGGGCACATGGATTACACTCTGGTAAACTAACATAGCTATGGAAAATCACAATTTTTAATGGGAAAACTCACTATAAATGGCAATTTTCAATAGCTATGTTAGTTTACCAGAGGGTAATTTGGGCCCTATCATCCGGCAAATATGGCAACTGGAACCCCCGTATGAACCGCGGCTTAAGCGGGAAAATCAGTTCTAAATGGTGGATTTGGACATTGCCATGTTTGATTACCAAAGGGTCATATGAATTTTGGTCCCTGTAACTGGTAAAAAAATATGAATTTTAATGAATTTTATGTTTACTGATTATGTGGGTCTACACACGCGTATTTTGTCTTGCGCTTGATGCATTAGTGGATGTGTTGGGTTCCCATTTTTTTGTAGGAACCACATATGAACTGTACAGTGAACCTAGTTTTTCTTTCAGAACGGTATCTATTTGAGGTTAGCCCCCGCTACAAAACCGATGTAAGTGGCAAAGTGGGATGAACCGAGGACACCGCGAGGCAAAGGCCCCATTTCACCAGAGCGTCCAAGCACACATTTGGGGAACCCGTAGATACAATTCCGGAATTTTCATCGAGGGGTGTATACTCCCCCAGAAATCTATGTATATTACCCCCCGGAAAACTAGCTCGTGCAAAAATTGGGTAATGTTTAATCGCCAGGTTACCAGGTTTGATTGCTAGAGGCTGCTAGAGTGGGTACATCCCTATTGTTGATGATCATTGTGCGGGTCCCCCATGTCATTGATGTCATTGTTGCGGCTTATCAGATCGCTTAAAAGCAGTATCATTATTGGTATCACTCCTATTTTGATTCACAAACATTCTTACTGGTGCTAAACGCAGGCAATTTTTGGGAATGATCCATTTCATCACTAGTAATAATCATCCCAGCAACCCCCAGCAACCCCCAGCAACCCCCAGCAACCTATCCATTCCCATCCAGCAACCCTACGTAAAACGCACCAGTAAGTTGTTAAACCCTTCAACCAAGCCCTTTTTTTCGGGAATGATCCACTGGCTAACTATAAATTTCACCATCCCAGCAGCCCAGCAACCCATCTTGCTACCCCAAGTATCCCCAAAAAAGTCGTGCGGCTCGCAGGTGCTTTGGGGGCCCTCATGGCGCCCAGCTGCTCCAGCGGCGCGAGGCTAGCGGCGACATCGCCTAGCGCTATGTCGCCATGGTCGCTGCGTGGCAACGCAGCCAACGGAAGTTGGTCGACTTGGAAAATCCTGAGACTTGGTCAACTGCTTGGTGGTTTGGATTATAGTATATATATATATATAATTAATAGTGCTTAATAGTTAATAGTGGTTAATAGTGTTTAATAGTGATTAATAATGGTTAATAATGATAATCAATGATTAATATACCGGTTTGGTGGAGACTGGAACCATGGAATTTTATGACTTTCCATATATTGGGAATGTCATCATCCCAACTGACGAAGTCATATTTTTCAGAGGGGTAGGTATACCACCAACCAGTCAAGTTTGGGCCGACTTGGGAGTTTTGTTCGGGATATGTCTATGGATCAAAAGCCTGGTGGTCAACACATGTCAACACCCAAATTCCAGGGGTTTATGGATCTTCATCCAGCCCAAAACATGGTACGATAGGTCTCGACCTATCCCGATTGTAGCCGCAATGAAGGATAAAGGGTGACATATCACCGACTTGGGGAGATACAGATCCGAGGCATGTGAAAGAACAACACCTGCGATTGTAACAATTGGTCCTGTTTTGTTGCTTATCATGTTCCAAAGTTGCTGGCTCCAAACCAACTTCCCCAATTTCTTGGCACTCCGAGACTGACCAACTTGGCCCCTTGGACCATTCCTGAATTTCTTGGTTCCACCATTTGGGGAATCTACGAGGATTCTTTATATATACATATATATATATATATACACAGATATATTATATAATATCATGACAATTATTGTTCTGATTATTTATGTCACTATAATATAACAAGATATATACATATAAACATCCGCATAAACATATACATATATATATATGTATATATATGTATATATATATATATGTATATATATATATATGTGTGTGTGTGTGTATATGGAACCTTTTAAAAGCAAGTCCAAGATTCTCAAGGACAGCCGACGTTTCCAGCAGCTCCTGAACCACTACGCTGCGACTGGTCGGACTGGTCGCTGGCGCTCAGCCGCTACGCTGCTGGGTGACTTGGCGTGGCTGGGAAATCCCTTGGAAGATCTGGAAGTAGAGGTTTTTCATGGGAAAATATAGGGAAAATCATGGGAAAGTCCTCTATAATCTAGAAAAGTAGAGGTTTTCATGAGATAATCATCTATAATCTAGAAAAAATTAGGTTTTCATGAGATAATCATCTATAAATTTTATAAATGCTGGATTTTCCACTGCGATATGACCTGGGAGCTCGGTACCGTGTGCGAGCTGAGACTGTCGTGAGTCTCCCTATCCCTAATTTACCATAGAGTGGCGGTGTAAGCCATCAAAACATGGGTGGCCTATTGTTGCCTTGCTACCATTAAACATATGGGAGATATTTGTGGCAACCTTAGGGTTTAAAAGTTTAATACTTGATATTTTGCCAACAATCCTGGGGCACGGATACTGATTTGATCATTGGGAAGGTGATTTGGTGGGTCTGTCCAGAAATGGGTAAAAAACCTCGATGCCCGGTGTGACTGAAATTGACACGCGGGGAAGACGAATAGACGAATGATTCTTGGGAAAGCCTATTTCCACATAAATCCATATCAACATCTCTTTCCTTATTTCATATATTGTATGACTTCCAACCCAGCTATCCCCGAACACGAACTTTCTACAATAGAATTCTCTCTGAAATCACCAACTTTTTCATGTGAAAATATGGGTTTGTCGGAAAAAAGGGTGTTATCCAAGTCCATCGGCTGGTCATCTTCCCTATTCACATGGCATCTATTTGTTGGTTATATCAGTTATATCTCCCTGAATATCCCATGAACATGTCCCTTTCGAATTCCAATCCAATCCCACTGTTTTTTTTCTCAAACAAAATTATAAATCAACTTCCCATTGATATTCCGATAATGAATGATGTATATTGAATATCAATGGGATATGATTGGGATGTTAATCTAGTTGGTGGTTTGGAACATTTTTTACTTTCCCCAATAGTTGGGATGATGATCCAATCTGACTTTCATATTTTTCAGAGGGGTTGAAACCACCAATTAGTAATGGCCATTTTTTTTGGTTTAGTGATTCGGAATGGCCTGAGTCTTCACCGCTTGCCCGGTGAGATTTTTTCAGGAAACTTTGCTCGACATCGAGAACTTCAGAGACCTGTTGAGAATTGAATTACACGGTGGGCCCCCGGTTTTCAATAGCTAAGTTGGATGATAACTCCAATACCCTCTGGTAATTTAACATAGCGAACTCGAACATCACCATTTTTTATGGGTAAATCAATTATTTCAATGGGCCATTTTCAATAGCAAACTGTTAGTTTACCAGAGGGTAACTAGGGTTTATGGTAGATGTAACTATAGTAAATAGGGTTTATCAGGTTTATCAATCGGCAATAAATTATATAAACTTGTTAATGATCCGTTTGACTCTCCTCACCAATATCCAATCCACTTGTTAATGGGATTAAGCCAACATAGAAGTGGATTTAATGGTCACTAGCATGGCTACAGACTTCCAAGTAAATGGGGAGTTTTGTTGTCATGCAATCCTTGGATAGATAGAATGGGGATATTACATGATATGAATGGAGGTACATTAATCTGGGTAAATTATAACGACCTCACTGTTCTCCCTCACTGGAAATCATGGTTAATAAGAGGAATCATCCCAAAATGGCCGCAAGATTCAGGTTAGTGAAATATTATAATTTACCCAGATTAATGGACATTGTCATGGAATAGTAGATTTCCATCGTTCGAACCATGGCTGTGTCTCAGAAATCTGACGGGATTTTGCAAGGGACAAACATAGTGATCAACTGTTGGATTTTGGGCTACTGTAGGCGTGATTTTCACACACACACATATATGTCATATATATACCCTCTGGTAAGTTAACATCGACCCTGGCTGATAGGGGTTGGAAGAGTAGTTTCCTTTAAAATGGGTGATTTTCAGGGTCTATGTTAATTTACTGGAGGGTATATATATATGTATATATACACCCTGGGGTAAACGTTTACAGTTTGCGAACTTGAAAATGGTGATCGAAATAGTGGATTTACCCATTGATAGCATGGTGATTTTATGTTAGTTTACCAGAGGGTATTTCATTTATGGAACCACCAACAGCGCTGGGAAATACTCATTTATGATATATTGGAATGTGTTGTGTATGACCCTTGCTATAGCACTTGCTGGTGTTTCCTCAATCATATTTTGGGGTGCAGTTGCAGTTGTAAGTGTATATATAACCATAGTTAGAGTTAGAGGGATTACCAACTTACGGGGGTTATTACCATAGTTATCCCCACAAAAAAATCCCTATAGTGCACCCCCAAGTATTTTTTTTTGGGACCCCCTTTGGAGCTTTTTGATGAATGATTTAATTTATGTTCATGACCATGACCATGCTCTTTGGGGGGGGTGCTTCATGCAACGGATGAGGCCAGATCTTCAACTCTTCAACTCCTTGATCAACGTCTGTGGAAAATCCAGCAGGTGTGGAACATCTGCCGGCTGGAGGTGGTTGGAAGCTCCATGGGTACAATGTCCCTTTCTGTGGCTAGGTAGGCCCATCCCCTTACGAAATACCACCGTCTGACTGACCGTCTGACCTAGACCTAGACCCGTCTGACCCCTTGGTTCAATATTGGATCCGTTTGGTGGCCATCATTAATCATCATCATTCATCATTAACCATCATTAAACTAGATATTAGGGGCATGGGATTGCCAGCTTCGTCAATCTTTGAGCTTGTGATCGACCAAGCTTATTTGATGGGAGATGGCCCACATCGAAGAGGTACCATCTGGTTATTTAACAGTTTGCTATGGAAAATGGCCCATAGAAATAGATGGTTTACCGAACTTAAAAATGGCGATTTTCCCTGGCTATGTTAGTCATAACCAGAGGGTACCCCAGAATTCAAAAACATATTTTCACTAACATAGCCATGGAAAATCACCATTTTTTATAAGTTTGAAAAATTATTTTCAAGTCTATTTTAATAAGTTTGAAAATCACCAGATAGGTACCCCAGAATTCATTGTCGGTTTCCCAAAATTTGAAAATTTATTTTCCAGTGAGAATGCACAAGTCTGATCCTCATGGAAGATTCAATGGAAGATGTCCCACTGGATGAAGTCCCAGAGCATTCCTGTTCAGTTCGAGCCAAGGTTGACGACGAATGTGTCTATTTGAGTACAATCACCAACTGGTTGGTGGTTTGGATTATAGTATATATATATAATTAATAGTGGTTAATAATAGTGGTTAATAATGGTTAATAATGATAATCAATGATTAATATATCTGGTTGGTGGTTTGGAACATTAATTTTATTTTTCCATATATATATATATTGGGAATGTCATCATCCCAACTGACGAAGTCATATTTTTCAGAGGGGTAGATATACACCAACCAGAGTACTTGCTTGTGAACTCACCAGGAGCACCAAAAAGTGTGAACGTTCCATGTTGTTTCGTGCGCGTTCGGAGACAAAAGCTAATGGATTTGACGCTTCAAATAGCCTGGGGGTATGTTCCAGGGGTTTATTGGATTTATCTAAGAGTTAGGGTTTAAATGATGCAGAGGCGATGCTGTGTTGATTTTATGCTGTGGAAGTTATGAACCTGACACGTGACCAAAACGATCTACCCTCCGGTCATCAAACATGGAAATTTTTCACATCACCCTTACATCGTGCGATGATGTTCCCATTAAAAACTTCCAACCAGCATATTATTGGGAGATCACCAACCAGCCATAGTTGATGCTTAAATCCCATGAAACCATATGAAACCATCATGTCATCATGTCCCTCATTTTTCCCCATCCATTGAGTTCGGGGATTTCCCAGCCATGTTTGAGTCGCCTCAACCACCACCCATGGATTTCGTCGAGCCTATCTGGATATCTGGGAATGGGTCCTGTTACAAGAAATGACTGGGATGAACATCCACAAATAGATCAATAGATATCAATAGATATCAATAGTATCCATTTCCGGGTGAACATGACCATACTGCTTGGTGCTTTGGACCCATGGAATTTTATTTATTTTCCCATACATTGGCAAAATGTCATAATCCTAACTGACGAAGTCACATTTTTTAGAGGGGTAGGCTCAACCACCAACCAGTTGATGGTTAAAATTCCCATGATGGTTAACCATAACCACCATTATTAACCATTATTAACCATTATTAACAATTATTAACCATTATTAAAGGGGTAGGTTGAACCCACCAACCAGCCATATTAAAGCTACACCTGCGCCAAAACCCGCCAGGTGGTGTGAAGCCCTCAGGTATTTTCAGCTCATGGGCCACGTGCAGTTGGAGATCTCCAGTGTGACGTACAATACGGTGCAGTTTTTGCGGTGCCGTTTTTTTGGGTCCATCAATGGGGATACCCCAAAATACCCTCTGGTAAACTAACAGTTAGCTATTGAAAATGGCTATTTATAGTGGATTTACCCTTTTTTGAAATGGTGATTGTCCATAGTTATGTAAACGTTTACCAGAGGCTATCCATTTTATCAATGGATTGGATTAAGGTCAAATTGGAACCGGAAAGCCCGTGATGTTAAAATCCCGATGGGTTTCCGGTTCACATTTTCCCGTGAAAAACCAATCCATTGATAAAACCCCGGTGTCTCCATGGATGAGGTTTAGGGGGTTTCCCCCCTCCTTTGCTGAGCCAATGATTTTACCAAAATGTTTCCCGGTAAATCCACAAAGCCGGCATCATGATGATCCCAGTGGTGACTCATAACCCAAGGTATAAGCGACCCAGGATCGCTAAAAAGGTGGTGCCCTTCATTTATAAGTTGCTTGATACCACCCAACTCTAGATCTAACATGATATATACTGTAAATGATATAGTTATATATATATATATATATTATATATCTATAACAAAGCTTAGTTATATGAGTTCTACAGCAACTCATCTAAATATGGGGCAGCAACATCCAATCTTCAGTGGTTTTCCACCATGTTGACCCCCCATGTTTCATGGTGAAATCGAGGTCAACGGCCCTCCCACAGGTGCTATCACTGGACCTGAAAGATGCCTGGCCCCGTGCCTGGCATCTGCTGCCTCACGCGGACCTGCTGGGCTGCAATGCTGCGCTGGGCGGCTGCGGGGCTTGGGGGGCTTGGCAGCGCGCTGAAGGCCTGATGAGGCAACGGAAAGCCAAAGGGAAGACCAGGGTGGGATGGGAAATCCGCGATTTCTGGAGGTTTTACCCTCTGGTAAACGTTTACACAACAATTGAAAGATCCACCATTTTTGTATGGGTAAATCAACTATAAATAGCCATTTTCAAGTTCGCAAAGTGTAAACGTTTACCAGAGGTTTTAATGGTTGGGAAAATCACATATCAATGGGGATTTTCTAGCAAGCCATGTTGGACCGAACGGCGACCTGCCGGGTGTTTCGCACGGCAGTGAATCACTCGCCAGGTCGATGAACCACTTGCAGCCAGATGTTGTGACGTACGTTGCCGTCATGAAGAGCCAACAGAAAGCCAAGCTGTGGCAAAACGCAGCGGACATGTTGCAGGTGTGGAAAGGATGGGGGGTAATTACTGAAGTAATTACCCGCTGGAAAACTAACACTTTGCGAACTTGAACATGGCCATAGAAATCGTTGATTTACCCATTGAACATGGTGATCTTCCATAGTTATGTAAACGTTTACCAGAGGGTATTACAGGTTTTTTTGTTCCTGAAATCGAATGGTGGTGACCATAGATATCCTCAGACTTCATCCGAAATCCCGGGGAAACATCTTCCAGCTGCCCTATTTTTCTGTGCTCGTTGGATTTCTCGAAGTTTGAACCTCGGAACCGGTAAATCTGGATGGTTTCACTACTCAGCTTCGTTGGTTTCACCACCAACCCGTGGAACGTCACCTTTCTGTTGCAGCCGTGAGGCAACCAGTTTTGCCGTTGGCATGTTATAGCCAGTATTGCTGATTCCATCATATTCCCAATTCTATCGTGCAAGCTTTGGTTAGCTATACTTCCGTTTTGGGTTGAATTGAAGCCAGTTGTTCAGATAAACATCTCAAATCCTTTTTTTGATTGCTTATATTATATACGATTATATATACTTATATCCCAGCTTAAGTCTCACCAACAGGTAGATGGTTAGTCCCAATTTTATTCACTAGGTAGATACAGAATGGTGCCCCCCAGTTATAAGTTTTATAAAGCCCATGAATGCTATAGTTTAATATCTACCAGATTTGTCATAGAATTCAGCCACTTTTTTCAGACGCTAGGTCCGCTAGGTCCTCCTTGCCTCAGGGACTGCGCAATCTGCGGCCCACGGTGCTCTGTTGGAGCGTGGCAGCTATTGGGCCGTGGCATGAAGCATTGGGAAACGTGCAGCTGATGAGAGACTTGGCAGAGCGGTTTCCCAACTTATCTACAAGGTGGTGCCCCAGTTCGGAATCGCTAAGTTGGTGCCAATAACTCCCATAACTGCCATAACTATGGTTTATAACTCCCATAACTGCCATAACTATGGTTTATGGCAGATATAACTATAGTATACTATAGTATTTTTATGGGGGTTATAAACCAACAAACATCACTGGGCACCATCCTGTATGGTTTCATATGGGTTTTTAAGGGATCTTAATGGATGAATTGGGGCTAAAAACTATGCATAGACTATTCCAATGCATAGACTATACAACTATATATATATATATAAATACACATAGACATATAGAACAACTGTTTATAGAATATAATCTACAGTAGACATTTTGGTATTAGTATTAGTCAAGACATTATGCTCTGACTATGCTATATATATATTATATTTCTTTTCGACGTCTAATGAATACTGCTATATAGACTCTATATTTCCTGTTTGGGCGCTAGTGTCGATTGTGATGTCCTGATTGGGTGGGTGACTGGGCACATCGACATGACTGACCAGGCCTGCCCAGTACTCTAAACGATACAAACAGCAAGACTGTACTTTATAGTATATCCTTTAGGATACTATATGGTGTATTCTCTATATGTAGATACACGTCATTTATACTAGAATACGATATTTTGTACTATGTTGCAGTATGCAGACATTTTTTTCTGGTGAAACCAATTGTAGCAAAACCTCTACTTGGGAAGGGTTCCACCATCTGGTCTGCAGGATTTCTTCCAAGCTTTAATGCATTCTCCGAGGATTGGAACTCCCAAAAACCAACAATATAAGGAATGGATTGTACTCCAAGCTTTTCTTTGGTTTGTCCAAAAAATTGAGTAGCCCTTATGATTTATAACACTCTTCCCTATTCAACCGGCCATAAAAATTGGAGAGAAATCCCGTACTCAGGGACACACCCAAATATCTGTTGGCAATATGCCCCAATTGACATCCATATCCCATGAATATCCCATGAATATCCCATGAATATTCCATGAATATCCCATGAATATCCCATGAATATCCCATGAATATCTCATGAATATCCCATGAATATTCCATGAATATTCCATGAATATCTCATGAATATCCCATGAATATTCCATGGGTATCCCCATCGATATCCCCTGTCTAAGTCGGCTGAGGATCACAGGTCTTAGCCAGTTCAGTGGTCACGCTGAGCGCCGTCATCACGTCCCTGGCCGAAAGTGCCACCGGGTGGAAGGAAGCCCTGCAGATCTTGGCAGATGCTCCGCTGGTGCGAGGGGGGGGCTAGTGGGCCAGTGACTGGTTGACCTGGGAAGCATTAAAGTTGTGCTTGGTGGCTCATCCCACGAATCGTAAGTGGGTTATAACCCCAGTTATAAATGGGATAAGTAGGGTTAATCCACTTATAACTGGGGTTATAACCCACTTACGATTCGTGGGATGAGCCACCAAGTGGGGATCTAGTTCATAACTGATGCTTGCTTGGTGATTCTAATGGAAACTCTTCGACCATTCGAAGACCAAATTCAACAGAGATTTTTTTTTAATCACCAAGGGGAATATCTAGTAGCCAACCAATATGGGATGGGCTCAGATGTCACCACCGGGATACCGACTTAGTGGAGTCCCGTGACTTGTTGCTTGGAACTGTTTGTGATGATATTTTGGCACGGATCATGAATAGATGGATGATTGGATGGATAGATAAATAGATAGACTATTATTTATTGATAGATGACCATATTGTATGATCTATGTTTGGATAGATGTAATTTTTTAGATGGATGATTGGATGGAAAAAGGACCAATAGATAGACTATTATTTATTGATAGATGACCATATTGTATGATCTATGTTTGGATAGATGTAATTTTTTAGATGGATGATTGGATGGATAGATTTAGTAAAGCCCCCAGGTTTTTTTTTCGTTTTTTTTCCTAGAATTCACCCAGTGCCTCATTGTAGCCTGCTTAGATGGGCCATGGAGTTAGATGAGTTAGGTAACTAGTTGGTAAATGGATTCTTTCATTGGGATTTAGAGGGTTATATCCCCAGTTACTAACCAGTTAGTTAATCCCATGGCCCATCTAATAAGTACCCTCTGGTTATGACTAACAGTTCGCCATGGTACAGGACCCATAGAAATAGATTAAATAGATGGTTTACCTATTACAAATGGTGGATCTTTCCATGGCTATGTTAGTCATAACCAGATGGTAATCCCAGATGGCAGCTATGCCACATCAACTATGGTAACTACCCTCTGGTAAACGTTTACATAACTATGGAAAGATCCACCATTTTTAATGGGAAAACTCACGAAATCAATGGCCATTTTCAATAGCTACGTTAAATTACCAGAGGGTATTTGATCATTCTACCCAACAGGGGTAATGTTTCCAAACTCTTCCCATTCCACCCAGCACATGTCTTGTTGTTGATTTATGTATTCGTGATTCAATCTACCCATAGCCAGGTGTACCTCATTTTTTTGCGGTTTCGGTCAGGTCCAGGTGGAGCCCAACGTCATCAGCTACAACGCCAGCATCTGCGCCTGTAGCACCGCAGCTGAGCCTTGGAGGAAGGCCTTGGAGCTGGTGCCGAGGGAGGCGAACCTGGTGCCTTGGAGATGAACATTAATGACATATGATATAATATGATATGATATAATGTAATATAATACAATATACTATATAACATATGATATAATATATAATATATCATATATCAGATCATATATCATATATAGTATATACTGTATAATGTATAATGTATAATGTAGAATATATGAAATAATTGTTATTATATAACATATGATTATTCATATTAGTATTAATATATATATATGTATATATATATATACATATACACAGTACTGGTATATTCATGAGATATTTTCATGGGATGCATAACCGTTGTTAACTGGAGAACCACTAGCTACAGGGAAATACAGTGAAGTAAGCAACAAACATTGTGTGAAAACCATGGGGCATATCTACTTCATCAACAAAGATGGGGATATGATGACAAGCAAGGAACGTTGAGCGATTGTAATGATACCCGGCCTGGTAAACATACAAAAAACTATGGAAAGATCCACCATTTTTAATGGGAAAACTCACGAAATCAATGGCCATTTTCAATAGCAAACTGTTAGTTTACCAGAGGGTAGCAAAAAACGTTGAGTTTCAGAAAAAACTGAAAGGGACCGATTGGTGTGGGAGAATGGCCAACAACAATTGGACATTTTCAGCAACTGATATGGTCTGGTTGGTGTTGATGTGGCAAACTTTGAAATTTGGGGATTCAACATACAGAGTTGGCCAACAGAAATGTAGATTACCCTCTGGTAAATTAACATAGCTATGGAAAATCATCATTGTTTATGGGAAAATCCACTATAAATGGTCCATTTTCCATAGTTATCTTAGTTTACCAGAGGGTATTCATGATTATTCCAGCAATAGGTGGATGGATAGGACCAACGGCATGGAAAAGAGGTGTATGCCATGTTTGATTACCGGACAGTATATCTTTGTCTCACCCGGGAATTGTATTTCAAGCAGAAAGAATATAATTTTCTCAGCAACAGTGGGAATAATTTGAATATCTGATTTAAAGTGGATGTTCTGAACCAATTCATCTTTGCTCGTCTAAGATGGTGGACAACTTAACATCAACCCAACATAAATGCACCCCCCATCAAAAGGCAAGATTTCCATCAAGTAGATGGCTTTTGGAATGACATATTTACCTTCCAGGGAGGGTTGCCCCAAGGGGCACTCGCACCTTTGGATCCTTTGGGGGCCGTCCAGGTAACGTTTAACTCAGCCATCAGTGCCTGCAGTGCAGCCGGCGAATGGCAATGGGCCATGGTGTTGTTGAAGGAGTGTTGGGGGCCTTGCAAGGGAACGTCATTCCAATAGGGGATCGATGTCCAGATGCCATTGCAGCTACGGCAAAGTTGATGGAACCATCAACTTTGAAGGCAAAACTGGGCATATCACGACAAACGATATTGGTGTATGGATCAGAATGCGATATTAAGTAATTTGACTCGGGCCAGGAATTGGAAAGTGATATTCGAATCTTGCTCTGACATGTTGGAAGGCTCACATTGATCATAATATCCACGTAAGGGTTTTGAGAACCCAAGAATTGAATGCTTACCCTCTGGTAATTTAACATAGCTATTGAAAATGGCCATTTATAGTGGATTTTCCCATTAAAAATAGTGGTTTTCCATAGCTATGTTAAATTACCAGAGGGTAGGGCACCTTTTTCTCCAAAGCTCCAGAGTTTTCAATCTCTGAGTTGGATTTCCTGCCAGACATGTGAATTTCGATGAAAGCTACTTGGTGGCTCATCCCACGAATCGTAAGTGGGTTATAACCCGAGTTATAAATGGGATTTTTGTAGGGTTAATCCACTGAAATCACTGGGGTTTTCACTAACCCACTTACGATTCGTGGCTAGTTCGCCACCAAGTGGTTGGTGCAACAAAGATCCTTTTCCAACCTCCACACGGCGCCACGGCACCTGAGGAGTTGGAGTTGAGGAACCTTCAAGGCACAGATGCTGCTTTTCATGGCCGATTCCCTGGCTCGTGGTGAAAGCTGGATATAGAAAGTTGGGGCAACCGATGGACCGAAAATCACGCAGAAGATTGGCCATTTCAATCGTGTTTTTTTAAAGGGTGGCAATAGTTTTGACATGTTTTGACATATCCAAAAAAACCCTTCCAAGCCATAGGTGGAATGCCCAGAAGTAGATGTAGGCCGCTCTGGCCCAAACATCCAATGGCTCATGAAATTTTCACCATGGGTATCCACCATTGCAGAAAGCTACTTATCATGTATCCAACTTGTATCAAACATGGCCCAGGTCAGAAAGAGTTCAGTTCCCAGTAATATCTAATGGAACATGATATACCATTCTAATGGAAAAATAATGAAAAATATTTGAACAATAAACTGACCATGTCTTTTAGATGTTCCATGTCTAATCGTTTTTTTTTTGATCCCCATTCTTAGTTCAATCCCAAGCTCCAACGCCTAGCTCCAGGCGATAGCTTCACCCTAAATGCTGCCATTGCATGTGAAGCGCGTTGGACTGAGGCGGGTCGGATTCAGTCGTCGGATACGACCTGAGCATCGGATCCCGGGTGGTTTTTTTTCATCTACCCGGCCTGGTAGACATACGAAAAACTATGGAAAGATCCAGCATTTTTGGGTAAATATCAACTATTTCGACTGGGCCATTTTCAAGTTCGCAGACTTTTAGTTTACCAGAGGAGGAGAAAAGGAATCCCATTGACAACCAACTTAAGACAAGGACAAGCACCTCTTTTTGGAAAAACATGGCGAGTCGTGGTGTCTTTCTGAACGGCTGTCGTTAGACATTCGGATGTGCAGGAAATCTGCTAAACACCAAGCCAAGATGGATAGTAGAATCGCAACGTATATTGGTCACAATCTTACACCTAAAAGTTGTTTGGTTTCATACCCAACATGTCCGAACATGACCCCGTTTTACTGAAGACCAAACAGTTTAAACATGTGTTGACGGAGACCATTTCAGCAAAGCTGGCTCTGCCAGTTTCGGATTTGTTTCACTCTTCAGCAGCTGGCTATGAGTCATAACCCTGGTACCTAGTGAACCACAAAACAGCTGGTAAATGGATGTTCATCCCATTAAAATTGATACTAATAGGTTTTGACCCATCCCCAGCTCATTGTGACAAGGCCTTGGAGTTGTTAAGACTGGCAGATGCAGCACGGCTGGCAGATGTAGCTTTGCCGCGCCCCAGAGTTGGCATCGGTTTGGTTCAAGCCGCAGCCCCATATGAATTTGGAGATTCGGAGACCTGGTTTTTATGGGGATGCAATTTCCAGGTCACACATGGGTATGGGATATATATGGATATATGATAGAACCTCTGTAACTTCTGTTATTTATACATCCGCCTATGACTGGAACTGCACTTCCAAGTAGGATGATCGGATGTTCCATTTTTTTCACCCAGCTTGAACTATTTCTGGTGGCCAGAGAGGTCCATTTGGCATCATCGGAGCCGTTTTCTGGACCCATTTTATGGCCGGTAGTTTCCCCGAGTATCTCCGCTAAACCGACTACTTGGTGGCTCATCCCACTTAGTAAGTGGGCTATAACCCCAGTTATAAATGGGATAAGTAGGGTTAATCCACTTATAACTGGGGTTATAACCCACTTACTAAGTGGGATGAGCCACCAAGTACCTAATTGTTGGTTATAGCGCTCGATCTGTTTGTTGGTTAAATCATTCAGCCAAATCATGTCAAAAATCCATGTGCGTCCTGCCCTGGATGTTCCTCTCAACGTTTCCCTTCAACCAATTCAATAATCAATGGCCATTTCAGGAACCTAAATTGGAGGTACCTACCATATATAAGGCTCCTGGAATTTCCATTGAAATAACACACATTCAGCAGACTGGCTGCATCGGAAGAATTTCGGATGGATCAAAGACCAAATCCCATCCACCCATCCACCAATCCCAGCTTTTTGAGAAGGGCATTCCACGTAGAATTGACCTCCAATTTTTCTTCCTTTCCCAAAGTTGTAATATCTGCTTGGTGCAGTTGGAACCGTGAGGAACAATGAAAATTTATGACTTTCCAGAAACACTTGGGAATGGAATGTCGTCGTCATCGTCATCATCATCATCATCATCATCCCAACTGTTACTCATCGTCCATCATTTTTCAGAGGGCTAGGTGGCTTGGTGGCTCAACCACCAAGCAGTTTTTTTTTGGAGGATACTTGCCAATGTTTGATGGTTAAACCGTTGACCCCCAATCTTGATGGTTCCAGTTTTGATGGCTAATCCACACTATCCTCTGGAAATCAAACGTGGCAAAGAAAATCCACCCAGCCCGGGGGCCCGGCCCGCCATGTTTGATGACATCACCCAGCGGGTAACCCACATATTTGATATGCTAAATAAGGGTGTCCTAAAATGGTGGTACCCCCAAATTATCCATTTTATTTTCAGATTTTCCATTACATAAATTATATACCTTATTGGTGGTTTCAAACATGTGTTATTTTTCCATTTCATATATGGGATGTCATCCCAACCCCATTGACTTTCACTCCATCATTTTTCAAGATGGTTAAAACGCCTCACCAACCAGTTAATAGGTAAATCAACTATACATCACCATGCTCAATAGCTATATTAAATTATAAACCATCCATTTTTGGGTACCTTGATTCACTTTGATTCACCATGCTATCAATGGGTAAATCCACTATTTCGGCTGGGCCATAGCTACCATAGCTATGGATAGGGGCTCCATATCTATGGGTACCTCCGTTGATCGTCGAATGGTTCCTAAAGTCACTGGATTGGCTTTCACGGGAAAATCTTCACCGGAAACTATGGTAAAATACCATCTCTCATATATGGGTACCTTGGTCCACTTTGATTCAATCGAATGGTTCCTAGAGGTGATCAGCTATATTGGTTTTTATAAACCATCCATTTTTGGGTACCGACTGATTCACCATGCTATTCAATCGACTGGTTCCTAAAGGTGATCAGCTATAGCAGTTGCATCAGCGCTCTGGAGAAGGCCCTGCAGTGGCAGAAGGCTTTGGCTCCTGGGACCGGAGGGACCGGGATTGGAGCGTGACCGGAGGGGAGCTTCCTATGGGATTCCTATTGATTTTATCGTGATTTAATGGGATTTAAACATGTATATAATGGGATTTTATAGTGATTTAATGGGATTTTATAGTGATTTAATTGGATTTTATAGTGATTCAATGGGATATTAATGGGATATACCCTCTGGTTATTTGTTACAGTTCGCCATGGTTAAGCCATGGCCCATAGAAATAGATGGTTTACCGAACTATTCATAGCATGGTGGATCTTTCCAGTTCGCGAACTGTGAATGTCATGACCAGATGGTAATCATAATTCATGGTGATCTATGGTGGTTAGTCATAATGGCTGGTTGGTGGTTTGGATCATTTTTTATTTTTCCATATATTGGGAATAAGAAGCCCAACTGGCTAATATTTTTCAGAGGGGTTCAAACCACCAACCAGATGGGATAAGAATGGGATTTCACAATGGGATATTGTGAAAAACATGGCCATAGATGTCCTTTTCCCCCATTGGTTGATTGAGCATAGAACTTGCTTCATTCCCTGATGGGTTCCATCCCAGTTTTCATGAATCCTTTGTTTAGCCCTTTGTTACAACAGGTACTCGTAAATGATGATAGATGGGATTAAGCAGCTCCTGGCCCAAAGCCCTATTTTTACCAAAAGGACATAATTCCTATGAAACACTGGGATTCATGGGGATATCATGGGATTTGGCCCACCACCACCTGGAGAAGATGTCCAGGATTAACGCATATTTGGGTGAAGCAACTGGTGAAAAGGACGAAATTGGATGACATTTGAGGTTTGTTGCAAGCAGTGATGAGGGTGAAAAACCAGCAAGATAGAGAGATTAAACTGAGATTTAGCCGTCAACATGTTAGTAGCACTACAGCTCAATATTTTGCGTTTATTTTGGGAGATAATTGTTTGTTCACCAGCTTCAAAAAAAGACTATGCAGGGGCTTGAACTCGTATCGACCAGTGGACCGGGTGGATCAGCAAACACGTGAGAGATTGGGGCAATCAGATTCTCTCGGAAACTTGGAGATAAGGTGGGTGATAAGCCAAGCTATCAACTATCGATTTTAGGCATCTTTTGGCTTTTACAAGCCACCAATTTTCCATGTTTCTCACAGGTCTATGACAAAATTCATCAAAATTCGTTTGGGAACCCGCAACATGTCCCGTTATGAAGTCTGAATGAACCCCATGACGTCTCAGACTCAGGAACTGTTCTTTCTCATGACTGAGCGCACCATTTCTCCGAACGTGCCTGGTTTTTGCGCGTAACCAGATCGCGGGGCGACTGTTTTAGGCTTGCTACATGGAAAGAACTTTCCAAATTGACTACCTTGGGACATATCCCGTGAACATGTCCCCAAATCAGTCCTATTTTGTAGATTCTGGTCTAGAGTCTATAGAGCTCAATTATTTTTACTATGTTGTTGTAGTCAGCGTTGAACTTGCCCACATGACTGGATCACCGATGGGAGATCTCAGCAGCTGCAGCGTTTCACCATGGTTGGTGAGACATAGATCTGGGTAAATTTCATCACGACCTCACTGTTCTCCCGAGCCCTGGAATCATGGTTAGTAAGGGAAATCATCCCCAAATGGCCGCAAGATTCAGTTCAGTGAATTATTATAATTCACCCAGATAGATGTAGGGGGCAACAAATAGAATATGCCGCAATGGCTGCTTGGGCCAGAGCCAGACTGGCTGCAACTTGGATGTGGCCTCCGAAGTGGCAGATTTTTTTCCCTTGCCAGTGACGGGACTTCACCATAGCTGGATATAAATCCGCAAGCTATCGCAAGCTATCGCAAGCTCACCATTTCTATCACCCCGTGTTTTCCAGCCTTCCACCGCCAGAACATGATAAAAAGTGGCTCAAGAGGTGGTTGGGCTAGTTGGCTTTGTGTTCCCTGCAGCTTACCACTTATATGAGGGTTTCCTAAAATAGGTGTACGGTGTACCCCCAAATCATCCATTGTAATATGAGTTTCCATTCTATCTATATACATAGATCTGGGTAAATTATAACGACCTCACTGTTCTCCCTCACTGGAATCATGGTTAGTAAGGGAAATCATCCCCAAATGGCCTTAATTCAGGTACCGGTCCTTTCTTGCTTGCGGGGAGTGGGCCGGCCAAAGGGAAGATCGGTGGCCTTAATTCAGGTTAGTGAAATATTATAACCCATATATATATATATATATAAATTATATACCATCCATTTTTCCCCATTGGTCGAAGCCTCCATTTTTTGGGAGTGGGTGAACTGCTAAGCCTTCAGCTGAGTTGATTAGCTGCAATGCTGCAATCAGCGCATGTGAGAAATGCGGTGTTTGGCACCTTGGACGCCTGGGGGAATCATCAACAAAAGGATATTATGGACAATTAGGGGGATATGCATATAATAATATATATATATATATATTATAACTATATATACACATATATATATATATATATATACACATCACTTGACAATACTACCGTTACCGTTAAAATCTATTAACTACAGCACATTTCATGTGTTCCTTTTCATGTCCAGAGGATAGCCAGGACGGCTTTGCAGAGCCACTGAGTTGTGGCCTTTAGGACTTGTGTTTTTTGTCCGCCTGAAGCTTCCACTTCTGAAGCCAGCTGCGGCATGGACCGAACTCTCTTAAGGAGAGTTTGGAATGTGACGCATGAGTATTATATGCATACATGTCTTTTCTCCCAAACTCTTGTGAAGTCCCCACCTGTCAGTGGTGGTGCTCAAGTAGCGCTGGCACGATATGATAGAATATGTAGATATAACACACACACATATATATATATATATATCAATGTAATTCTATGTAATTCTACATATAATAATATCCAGACTAGAAACATAACTTGTGGCATTCGAAGCATGATAGGTGTGACATCAACCATCGCTCCAATGCCTTGGCTGTTGAGGACCTCATACTGACCTCAGCATGATGAACATGATGGGTAAAGGAAAGGAACCCATCCCCAATTTTATTAAACCCATCCCCTATTATAGAGGTTTATCATGTTTGATTGCTGGGTATACCCCAGGATGATGGTTATCCTCTGGTAAACTAACAGTTTGCGAAGTGGCAACATCAGCATTTTCAGAAGATTTCCGAAGTACATCATTTGTAACTGGGCCATTTTCCATAGCTACATTACCCTCTGGTAAACTAACAGTTTGCTATGGAAAATCACCATTCTCAATGGGTAAATCCACTATTTCGATCACCATTTTCAATAGCTATTTTGACATAACCAGAGGGTAGTTTACTGAAGAGTAGCGTCCTAAAAGATGTCCCACCGCGTTGGGCGTAAATCAAAAAGTACCGGGCCCGGGCGAGGCAGCTGGCCCTTCTGCTGCTGGCTGGGTCTCACACTCTTCGGCTGCAGCTTGATGTGATCTCCTTCAATGCGAGCCTCAGCGCCTGCGAAAATGCCTCGGAGTGGGAAGCGCGGCAGAGAAACACAAGCGATTTTTGCAGGGCAGGGGTCAGAAAACATGTTGAAAACAAAGAAGAACTTGTTGATTTACCCTCTGGTAATTTAACATAACTATGGAAAATCACCATTTTTAATGGGAAAATCCACTATAAATGGCCATTTTCAATAGCTATGTTAGTTTACCAGAGGGTATCCCCCAATGTGCCATTTTCAATAGCTATGTTAGTTTACCAGAGGGTATCCCCCAATGTGAAATGGAGAAATGGATAGAAATATATAAGTCCTCAAATTTTCCACCATCTCAAACTGTATCTGGTGGTTTGGAACAATGGAATTTTATGACTTTCCTAATATATTGGGAGATTGTCATCATCCCAACTGACGAAGTCCATCATTTTTCAGAGGGGTAGGTTGAAACCACCAACCAGTTGATGGTTAAAATTCCCATGATGGTTAACCATAACCACCATTATTAACCATTATTAACCATGTTTTAACGACGTGATTTCCTATGTTTTAACGACGTTTTAACGACCGTGATCGCATTCCGATCATCTCAGGAACATGCCCTGGCACTCTTGGCTGAGCTTCACGGAACATCGCTGAGAGCAACATCGTCCGCTGGCTCGGTATTGGGGGTTGATGGGACATGAACCACACACTGGAAGTCTGACAAAAGGTTGGTATTTTACCAGATTATACTAGGGATTTTGGTGACAGAGGATTTAGCGGATCCTGAAATTTGAATATCTCATGAGCTTTTTTTTTTTGATCGAACATATGACAAATGTGTGTCAATCCCAACTCAGGAGGGTGTTTGTATTGCATTTTGAGCACCAAAAACATGAAACAACCAGAAACACCAGTATTAAAATTTGTATGTTTGTTTGCCTGTATGAGATATTAGGTACCAGGCCAACTCCCAACTCAAGTGGCTGCAGCACTTAGAGCGTTCTGAGAATGAGATATGAATAGATATGAGATGGGAAATAGACGAGTCAAAATTGGTTGTTGAGTCTCATCAAACGTAGTTACCCGAGGCGTTTTGAGCAAAGGAAATGCCATATGAATTGGGATAAAAAAATGAGTTAGGAGCCAAGCCCACTTAAGTCCTAACTTTCTGGAACTTTAAAATCCTAACCCATCTCAACCTAGTATATATAATCTTGAGCAATTTTTTTGTGTGAGCATTTATTTTGTATTTACACAGAAGGTATAGTCCTACAGAAGGACATACGTGTTAAGTCCTACAGAAGGTTTTTGAAGTCATTTATTGTATGTAGTTCACTTGGTAAAAGGTCCGCTTGAGCATTTGTTTGACGGATTCATGCTTGAACATTTTCTGGTTGGTGGTTCTAAACATTTCTCATTCTTCCTCTATTTGAAATGACAATCACAATGTGACGAGCGCAGTTTTCAGATATTCTCAGGAAGGTTGACACCAGCCAATGGGCATCAGAATTTCATCAGTGTTTTTGTCATATTTTTCTCAGCCAGTTTTTATAGCCATCAACCCCAGTTTTTGTAAAAGTAGCAAGTAAGACCCTAGTCAAACTTAGACTTAGGGAGCAATGACTTACCCTAGTTGATTGAATTGGGGACCAGTTTTTGTTCCCCAAAACCTCTGCAGTCACCAAGTCCAGAGGATGACCTACAACGTGGCCATGAGCGCGTGCAGTCGTCCGCGATGGCGAAAGGTGGTGATGCTTCAGCAGGAGATGAGGTGAGGGTTTCCGGGTTTCCGACGGACCGGGAAACCATGTGCAACGGTGCGAATCATGGTCAATATGTTGCCTGGAATCATGGTTTATTTTAGGGGGAATCATCCCCAAATGACCTTGAACTTAATTCAGGTGAGTGAATTATTATGTCATTTACCCAGATACAGGATGGTGCCCCCCAGTTATAAGTTGGTTTATAAACCCCATTAACTATAGTTATAAGTTATATCTGCCATAAACCATAGTTATTGGAGTTATAAACCAACTTAGCTAACTATGGGGCACCACCTTGCTGGAATCATGGTTTATTTTAGGGGAATCATCCCCAAATGACCTTGAATTTAATTCAGGTTAGTGAATTATTATGTCATTTACCCAGATACAGGATGGTGCCCCCCAGTTATAAGTTGGTTTATAAACCCCATTAACTATAGTTATATCTGCCATAAACCATAGTTATTGGAGTTATAAACCAACTTAGCTAACTATGGGGCACCACCTTGCTGGAATCATGGTTTATTTTAGGGGAATCATCCCCAAATGACCTTGAATTTAATTCAGGTTAGTGAATTATTATCATTTACCCAGATATGTTGGAATAGGATTGATTGGTGATTCCTTGTGATTTTGAATCACATTGTTAAATATTGGGAATGGATTTCAAGATTTTGCTGGTGATCAATGATCAAGATTTTTTTCGGCCCCGGCAGCTTTCGCCCAGTTCTTTTGGGGATGGGGACTTCCATGAAAGTGACATTCACTTCACCTCGACTGCACCTTTTGTTTTGGGAGTGGCCTTGAGCTCGAAAAATACCCCCAGTGTCTAGTCAGGCCAGAGTTGATGTTTTTTTTATCACATTCCCATGATCAGTTTAATCAGTTTTACACCCCACAAGGTGGTGCCCCATAGTTAGCTAAGTTGGTTTATAACTCCAATAACTATGGTTTATGGCAGATATGACTATAGTTAATTATAGTTAATGGGGTTTATAAACCAACTTATAACTGGGGGGCACCATCCTGCAGCAGTGAAATTGGAAGCTTGGCAAGTTGTCCAGTGCCATGAGATAGATCTGGCGAGATTTTGATGTCGACGTCCCGAAAAAAACGGCGAAGAGATTCTGAGATATCCAACCATATCCAACCTCTCGGCTTTTTGCAGCATGGCCAAACATCAATCATGCCTTACTTTATTCATATTTTTTTTGGGGGGGATCATGCCTTAGAATCAATAATTCCAGGATTTTTCTATAGTTAATCAAGATAAATCAAGATATCTCCAACCAGTTCCACTATAAAATCACTGGCCTCAGGCACCAGGCGCTGGATCTGAACCTCATCACCTTCAATGTGGCCAGCGTTGGCGACTGGCAGCGTTGCTGCAGGCTTTGGGAGGAGATCTCATTGAGGCGCAGAAATGGAGGATTTTCCATGATTTTCCATGGGGAAAACTGAGGAAAATCATGGGGAAATCATGGAACAAATCCATGAAAAAACCCATGGGAAATGATCTAATGATCAAATAAATGGAGCTTTACAGCCGGGAAAATCATCTATAACTATGAGATTTTCCATGGCTATGTTAGTTTGACGGAGGGTACCTTTTGTTGATTCGTCATTGAGTTTGTTTCATGTCGATGTAACTGATTTAATTAACATGATTCATAGCCATGAATTCTATGGGATTTTCCCTCTGGTAAACAAACATAGCTATTGAACATGGCCATTTATAGATGATTTTCCGATTAAAAATGGTGATTTTCCATAGTTATGTTAGTTTACCAGAGGGTAATACCTTTTATAGTTTTATTTCGTTTTAATCATCAAACATGCATGGGGACTTAACTGATTCTTGGTTGATGATTATCTAAAATTAGTCTGGCGGTTGGGGAATATCATAATCCATGTACCCGGAATCCCTATTGACTATTGACCAACCAGTTCTTTCGGGATGTTCCAATCTATTTTTGACACTGCTCACGTCATTGTTGAACATCTGTCATTTTTACATATACTGGTTGTATATATATATATATGTATATAATTATATCTATATATAGCAGTGTGGAACGCTGATTTCTTCAATGTCCTACCACTTGAGCTGTTGTCAAAACCGCAGCCATCTTGAAAAGCAACAGCAATAGCGAAGCATCCAATGAAAACAACGGCGTGAACATGGAGAACCTGCAAATTAGAAAAAGTGAAGCTACCCTCTGGTTATGTCAAAATAGCTATTGAAAATGGCCATTTATAATGGATTTTCCCATTAAAAATGGTGATTTTCCATAGTTATGTTAGTTTACCAGAGGGTATATCTTATGAGGGTTGAAGTCATACACGGGAGGCCCTTATCTCAAGATCTCCGTACCGCTCCATTGCTCTGACGGTGTGGTTCCCAGCCGGACGCTTCATGTCCTGCAGGCACTTGGAAGCAGATGCGCTGACCTTTCAGAAGCTCCTGAAAGCGATGGAGGAGCATCTTCCAGGTGTCTCGGTTCGGCTTTTTTCGATACAACTGAGGCGGCGGGTGCTGGGGTTGCTCCAGTCTGACTGGTGGGCATTTTTGTTGTGATTTTCTGGCACAAAGGATAAGGGTACTCCCTCTCGTCTCCAAGTCATGGATTTTGAGTCAGTCCATTCTTGATTCCGAGGCATACCAAAAGTCTTGGCAGATCTGAAGCGCACAGCACTGTTGTTTCACGCCCAGAGAAGCACTGCTTCCGCGGTGACGCACCAAATGTGATGGGCAGTGGGCAGCGCCGGGGGTGATGCAGACTCAGTGGGGCTGTGAAAGTTGGACATTGCTTTTGAACTATTCAGCCTCAACCCAGGATGTAGGTGCGAAAACTACCTAAAAACATCATCAAGATTACGGTTTTGAGTTCTGAGTGGTAGTCATCTGACCTCCATTAGTTTTCTGCTGGCATCACGGCTGTCTTAAGGTCTAAAAATAAATACAGGGTAGTACACTGTTCATACCCCGAAATCCACTCATTTTTCCGGCAGAAAGCGTCAATTTTATGGGTAGACCGGTATACTCTACTTTCCGACACAGCTGTATTTTACAAGGTCAGCCACCAATATGTTACAATAACAATGGGGGCAAGTAACCGCTAAGCTGCTGGCACTGTTTTGAACCAACGCTACAGAGTAGTACGATGACATATATGATACATGGTTTTACTGCAGGAGTTTTTACACCCCCCTCGGGCGAGCAGGGACGACTGCGGAGAACGAATAACCCAGAAAAGCATACCCTCGCGGGTAGCCAAATTTCTTTAGTTGGTTTTAGACATTTTTATGCAGTCTTTCAAAGGTCCCTCTAAAAAGCTCAAGCCCGTAAAACCCAGCGCAGCTATGCAAGGAAGGCACATTACCATGCCACATCTTGCGCTATGCTACAAAAGAAAATCATCGTCTACCTGCGGTTCCAATAGATCCAACGGCCGCCGGCCTCGTCACGGTAATACCAAGCCCCACGCCAGAAACTCCATTCTCGGCGTGCACCATAGTGATCACGATTCCAACTCCAAGAGGCATCCGGGCGACCGGAGCTTGCAGCCTTCGATGTGACTGTGCTTGCTGCTTTTGCAGTGGGCGGCGTCTCAGGCTCCAAGAATGGTCGTGCTCCTGCTTTGGATGTTGGTGGTTCGGGTGCAAGAAATGGTGCATTGTTGGGGTCAACTGGGGCATGAGCGTGCGAGGCGTCTGCGCGAGCAGAGCTTGAGGCGGCTGTGTCATCATGTGTAGTGACGGATGCATCAGCTTCGGCTTTGCGCTTTCGCTCTGTGGTGGGCGCGACCGTGGGGTCGGCCTTGTGACCTCCAGGACCTCCGGCCTTTGCAGCGGCGCTCTGCTTCTCTTTGCGTTCAAGGTTGCCCCGAACCAATGGAAGGTTTTCCTCATACAGCTTTTCGAGGAATTCAAGAGTGCCATCAAAAGGAACTTGGACGGTGCCCTTCCAGGTCAGCAGGCCACGGAATGCGCCACGACGGCCGATGTAGCTGACATATTCATCCTCTGTAAAAATGTGGCGGCCGAACATGAAACCCCAGACCTTCTTCCATGTTTTGCGGAACTCAACTGGGAAACCATCCACACCTCGAGGCTGGGACATGAAAATCAACTTAGATAAGCAGTTTTCATTTTGGGCATTGGCGGCGACGCCAGCCGAGATCTGAGCTTTGGTCCTTGGGGGATCGGGGAGGTTAGCGTATGCGAACATGTCATCAAAGATGCAGTCCTGCAGGCCCTTCCCCTCACCGTGGATGCGGTCGCAAAAAGTGACGTCGCTGGCGAATCTGTCTTCCACGTCCTCGTAGCCCAGCGCTTTTGCACGTCGATGCCTGTCGCGGCAGTCTTTGAGGACTGCTGATTCCACGGATGTGATTCCCCTGGGGCCCAGTTCCCGGCGAAGAAGATCGGCTTGCACATCTGTCAAAGCCGTCAACAAGCTGCCGCTCATTTTCCCAAACATTCCGAACCCGGCGAGACTCTGCATTCGCCGTTCAAGGATGCGGGTCCTCCTGTTGGGTTTGTCGGCCTCTTTTGTTTCGCCACTTTCGTCCACTGGGAGTGGCTCATATCCACATGTGGTGCATGTCACTTGGCCACTGACGTACTCGACCTGGCAGAGGGGGCAGGAGCCCATGAAAGGTTCGCAGTACTTTGGTGCAATGTAAACACGGCGCGTCCTTGCGGGCGGCTGGTCAACTTGCATTGGGGCAGTGGCTGCATCATCAGTGGACGTGGCATCGGGTCGCCCCGTGCTGGTGTCATCCATTGGGTCGTCATTTGCATCATCTCGGGCAGTCAGGGTGACCGCTCTGGATTTCGGTGCTGAGGCAGATTCCGCGCCTGTCCATGAGCTGGGCTCGAGATTGCTCTCGGCGCGGGACCAAAGCACCTGCCCATCTTCTGAGATGCTGACCAGAAACTGCGGTGGGATGCGTTCTGAACACAAAATACCATCCATTTCTGTGCGACTAAAGATGACACCAGCTTCTACTGCTTGCCGCATTGCGATTTTGACTTCGACTGGACATTTTGCTCTTAATCCAGATCGATATCCCTGTGTGCCGATACAGTGTTCTGCCATGTAGATATGAGCACGGCCACTGTTGACTGTGTCACCGCCGCCTGGGATCAGGCCGTTCTGTGCGATGCTCTTCCAGCTGCTTCTCATCGTGCGATGAAAAACAACTTCAGGGACCTCAGTCATGGCACACAAGGGCACGCCAGTGAAGGCGGCTTTTCGCTCGGGGGAAACTTGGTTTGAGCAATACACCATGGTTGAATTGGCATAAAGACCCCCTGCGGTTTTCAAGGCAGCTTCGGAATGACCCTGAATTGCACGGATTTTCACAGGATAATACGGCATGCCTAGGCCATTGTCGACAGGAAAATGGGAGATCTTTGCACACAAGAATTGGAACCTACTCTTGCCATGCTTGTCGATCTTCATTGCGGTGCCAAACAGGTTTGAGACGGTGATGAAAACGTCTGGGGGCACTTCCTTGCGGAAGGCTTTGGCAAAATCCTCCAAGTCAATCCAAAGGTCTTTGTCCATTGGCACCTTGGCACAGGATCCATGCCCCCTGCAAACTTTGTTGACACGAGTTGCAAAATCGGAAAATTTCTTGTCGACACGAGTCTGGCCAGCAATGGTCTCAACGTCGGATGCCGATATCAGCTCCAGTTCATAAGCCGTACCTTCAAAGAGGATCCCGGGCACATCTTCCCCGTCTGCATTGGTCACCATTGTATATTGGTATTCAGGCAAATGCTCTTCCATCCAATATGCTTTCACGTGGCCGGATGCATGTTCCTCTAAGCGCGCAGTTGCCTGCGGCTGGTACTGGCTGGATGTGGCTCTTTTGTCATCTGCGGGCTCATCCAATGGGACTGGTGCTGCTTTCGGTCGCGACTTCAACATGACCTCAGCCGTTTGGACCAGGATTGTTGCTCTGCTGGGTGCAGCGGGCTCGCCGTCGCCGGCGGCCTTTGGAGGGTCATCTTTGGGAGGCTCAGCAAAAGTGCCAGAAGGCATCGTCTTGGTGTCGATGTAGTCCTCGGTGTCTGGTTGTTGAGCTTCAACGTCCTCCTTGGTGAATGACCTGCCCGTCGGCGTGATGTGTCTTCGGGACTCTCCAAAAAGCAACTTGGTGATGCTTGCACATGTCTCCTGATAGGATCTTGGCAGCTCGTCGAGGACGGCGCTCATGTTCCTCCGCAAGTCATCCCATGTTTCCTGGCCACACTGAGTAAGCTCCAAACCAATTCGGCCAACCCGCCATCCGCAATCAATTGCGAAAAGGGTAGCTGTCCAATAGGCAGCAAGACGCGTGCGATTTTCTTCAGAGTTGGCGGAATGCCACTGGTCTCTGAATTCCATTGCATCGGCGTACCCCTTCGCCTTCAGCCACGGATACTTCGGATTGGCAAGCCCTTGCAGGCTGCTGGTTAGAGCTTTAAATCTGGGCTCCAATGCATCAAAGAACTGGTCAAAGATAGGGTGGATGCCATAGTCAGCAGACCAAGGCGCGGTCGTGAGACCGGCCGACTGCAAATCCAACTCACGGGCCTTGTTGATGAACCAAGTCAAGTGGCGCTCACAATCATCCAGGATCGTGGGCCAGTGCCCGTTGGGGCCGTCGTATGGCCAATTTGGATTTTGGGCAATCCCATCCTCTCCTACCAATTCATTTCCGAACCAGGACAAATGCAGGTTGATGCGGGCATCAGGGTAGCGCTCGCGGGCGTCCGCGGCCAATTCAATCCCACGTTTGACCAACTTCTGCAGAGTTTTGCCCCAAAGCATCTCATGGATAAACTCAGTCACATACTTAGGCTTGCGCTGCCGGTAATGCTCGGACAGGTCAAACTTCTTAAGTGTTTTCCTACGCCCTGTGATCAATGCACATGACGAGTCAGAGACTAAGATCCAGATTACTTCATTGACAGGCATCTCTGGCAACATGATCTTTTCGATGTGGGACTCCTTTGGCAAAAAGCAGAAGCTAAGGTATTCTGCAAGCGGATCCTCTCGACCGTAGAACCTCAGGGCCGAGGCCGGCGTCCATTCGGTCATCAATCCATCCACGAGGTCCTGAGCAGCCTGATTCTCACCTTCATTGCGCATGGCCAATGCATACAAAATGCGATTGTGAAGGAGCAACCATGCTTCTTTGTTAGCCTCACGTGTGGCTTCGAGCGCAGCCTCGCGGCTGGCCGGGTGTGCTGTGGCATATCGCGAGTCAGCCATTTTAGCAGGACAGGCACGAATGACAGCGGGTGAAATCCTTTTGGATGTTTGGCCCACCACAGCTACCCGGAAACACTCATGGAGCATGTCGGTCAACTTGAAGGTATAGTTCTCTGCAAGTTTAAGAGCTTTGCCCCTACTTTGATCATGCTCATGTTTGCCATCACATTTGAATGAGTCTAACACTTCGAGTTCTTTGAAGTTTCCTGCAATAGTCCAACTTTTCTTCATTGGTTGACCGTTGTTTCCAAGAACACCCAACATGCAACCATCAAAGTGATGAGTAGTCATGGATCGTTCTGTGAGGAATTTTCTGACCATCGGCCATCTCCAATATTTGCAATTCTTGGACAGTTCAAATGCTATCAAGGTTCGTTCATCATAAACTTCATCCACAAGTTTGACAAAAGATTTGAACAACTTGGTAAACTGTTTTTGTTGCTCTTTGATTCTTTCTTGACCCTCAACAGTAAGGCCAT